TTTTAAGTAAAGACGGGTTCTGTTTTGTTTTGTTTTTTTTGAGATGGAGTCTCCCTCTGTCACACAGGATAGAGTGCAGTGGCGAGAGCTTGGCTCACTGCAACCTCCACCTCTCGGGGTCAAGCAATTCTCTGACTCAGCCTTCCAAGTAGCTGGGATTGCAGGTGTCTACCACCACGCCCAGCTAATTTTTTTGTATTTTTAGTAGAGACAGGGTTACACCATCTTGGCAAGGCTGGGCTGACCACCTGATCCACCCACCTCAGCCTCCCAAAGTGCTGGGATTACAGGTGTGACCACCACGCCTGACCCAAGACAGAGTTTTACCATGTTGCCCAGGCTGGTCTTGAACTCCTGAGGTCAAGCAATATGCCCACCTCAGCCTCCCAAAGTGCTGAGATTACAAGAGTGAGCCACCGTGCCTGGCCTAAAAACACTTTCTTTACTGAAACAGTGGCATTGCTGCTTTAATAGACTAGTATGATTACATGGATTTGGACCACAGACACATAGCAAGTGCTTAGTACAAATTTATTTCAATGACTATTGATTAAATTTGTAGTCCTTTCCTCAGCTTGTTTCCAAAACCATGCTGACAAGAAATTTATTCCCCTTCCATTCCTGCTGCTACTCCTTTGCATTTAAGGGGTAGGAAGCAGGAGGAACAGAGAGACCGTTATTTCCCACAGGTAGGCAGTAACATGACATTGTCACTGCTATCCCGGGTCTCCTTTCCATTTCAGAAAAAAGCAAAAACTCATTTTACAGAATTGACCAAATTATTGAGTCCCTGAGTAACTTGAATAGCACACAACACCATACCTTTATATTCTTTTGTTGTTGTTGTTGTTGAGATGGAGTTTTGTTCTTGTAACCCAGGCTGGAATGCAATGGCATGATCTCGGCTCACTGCAGCCTCCACCTCTGGGTTCAAGTGATTCTCCTACCTCAGATTACAGGGACCCACTGGCACACCCAGCTAATTTTTTTTTTTTTTTTTTAGTGGAGACAGGGTTTCACCATGTTGGCCAGGCTGCTCTTAAACTCCTGACCTCAGGTGATCTGCCCACCTTGGCTTCCCAAAGTGTTGGGATTACAGGTATGAGCCACCACACCAGGCTCATACCTTTTATGTTCCGATCACTTGATTATCTTTCTAGCTCTATTACCCTTCATTCTTCCTACTTCAAAGTTTATGCATAAACTAAGAGAAACTACTTGAAATTTCCTGAATGTACCATGAAAATAATGAAACTACTCTTTGCATTGATTTTATATAAAAAATAAAGATGGCCGGGTGTAGTGGCTTACACCTGTAATCCCAGCACTTTGGGAGGCTGAGGTGGGCGTATTGCTTGAGCTCAGGAGTTCAAGACCAGCCTGGCCAACATGGTGAAACCTCATCTCTATGAAAAATATGAAAACTAGCTGGGCTTGGTAGCATGCGTCTATAGTCCCCGCTACTCAGGAGGCTGAGGCAGGAGAATCACTTGAACCCGGAAAGGGAGGTTGCAGTGAGCTGGGATCACACCACTGCACTCCAGCCTGGGCAACAGAGCAAGACTCCATCTTAAAAAAAAAAAAAAAAAAAATTGGAGATAAGAATATGTGACAAAAATAGCTAATTGTCTCCTATTATCTGTTCTACCATTTCATAGGTTAGAATACCAAATTTTTAGTTGGAGATGTGATGCCCAGAATAAATACTATATTTCCCAGAGAATGTTGCTGCTAGTTGTGGTTATGAGACTATGTTGGGCTAATGGGATGAATGTGGACCAAGAACCTGCATAAAATGATAGTGAAGTTCCCTTGGCCTGCTTCCGTGCTATCTGGAATGTGGATGTGACAGCTGGAGCACTAAAGGATGAAGGCCACATGTGACTTTTGGAATAGTTGAATAAAGAAGTCTAGGATCCTAAGGTCTTTGTAGAGATAGAAATAAACTGCTTGGTTGTTTAAACCACTGTTATTTTATTTCATTTATTTATCTATTTTTGAGACAGAGTTTTGCTTTGTTGCCCAGGCTGGAGTGCAGTGGCGCAACCTCAGCTCACTGCAACCCAACCTCTGCCTCTGGGTTCAAGTGATTCTCCCACCTCAGCCTCCCAAGTAGCTGAGACTACAGTAGGCGTGCACCACCATGCCCGGCTCATTTTTGTATTGTTAGAAGAGACCAGGTTTCACCATGTTGGCCATGCTGGTCTCAAACCCCTGACCTCAGGTAATCCACTTGCCTCGGCCTCCCAAAGTGCTGGGATTACAGGTGTGAGCCACCATGCCCAACCTCACTGTTATTTTAGGTCTCTGCTAAAAGCAGTGGAACATGCTTGCTTTGTAAAGGTTGTTCCCTCTGCCTGACAGTTTGCTTGATGTGTTGGTCTGGGTTCTCTAGAAAAACAGAACCAGTAGGATGGATGAATGGGAAGATAGATGATTGATAGATAGATAGATGAGAGGGGATTTATTAGGAGAAATGGCTCATTCAATTATGGAAGCTGGTCTCATGACATGCTATTGAAAGGTGGACAACAGGCTGGGTGCTGTGGCTCATGCCTGTAATCCCAGCACTTTGGGAGGCTGAGGGGGGCAGATCACAAGGTCAGGAGTTTGAGACCAGCCTGGCCAATATGGTGAAACCCGATCTCTACTAAAATTACAAAAATTCGCCAGGCATGGTGGCTGGCCCCTGTAGTCCCAGCTACTTGGGAGGCTGAGGTAGGAGAATCACTTGAACCCAGGAGGCAGAGGTTGCAGTGACCCAAGATCACACCACAGTACTCCAGCCTGGACGACAGAGGAAGACTCCGTCTCAAAAAAAAAGAAAAAAGAAAGGCGGAGAACCAGGGAAGCAGGTAATCTGGCTCAATCCAAGTCCAGAGGCTTGAGAACCAGGGGAGTCAATTGTGTAACTCTCAGCCAAGGCCAAAGACCTGAGAATGTAGGGGTCTGCTGGTGCAAGTTCTAAAGTCCAAAGACTGGAGAACATGGAGTCCTGATGTGCACGGGCAAGAAAAGATGGGTGTTTTCTTTGAAGGGAAGAGGAGAAATTCTTCTTTCCTCGGCCTTTTTATACTGTCTGGGCCCTCAATTGATGGATGGTGCCTCCACACATTGGATGAGGGCAGATCTTCCTTACTCAGTCCACTGATTCAAATGCCAATATCTTCCAGAAACATCCTCATGGACATACCCAGAAATAATGCTTTACCCGCTATGTGGGTATCCCCTTAATCCAGTCAAGCTGACACCTAAATTAACCATCGCACTCAACAAACTTCTACTTATCCTCAAGACTGAGATCAATCCAATTCCTCCTCTGTGGAACTTCTGATCTCCACCTAGAGATTTAATTCTTTAGCTTTATACCAGTTCTTAATCTTTTGCATACTTTTATAGCAAGTTGCACATTTTCATTTATAAATTTGTCTCCCTACTAGAACAGTCTCTCACTTAAAAAATAATAGGAGATATCTTTGAATAAACATAAAAAATAACATGGCTCATGTGGACTCTGAAACTGCCCCCAAATCTATGACAATATTAAATATGCTAATCCTATAAGCTACCACTACCTATCCAAAGATTCCAATGTACTTTTTTTCCCCCTTTTCTTGAGACAAGAGTCTTGGTCTGTTGCACAGGGTGGAGTGCAGTGGCATGATAGCTCGCTGCAACCTCTGTCTCCCAGGTTCAAGCCATTCTCCTGCCTTAGCCTAACAAGTAGGTTGGACTACAGGCATGCATCACCACACCCTGCTAATTTTT